CCCCCACACCCCGCCGAAGGAAAAAAAAAAAAAAATTCTGCACAAACAGCAATTTCTTATTATAACAATGTAATGTAAGTGAAAGAGAAACTTACATTTCTCTATTTCATAAGTCCTTCATTAGAACATTTGAATAACAGATGTAAATCAAACAATGCACACAATTCTGCTCAAAACAGTATAAGTTACACTATATACTTAAAAGTGGCAAAAAATATATACAATCATATATATATATATATAAAAAATGTAACAAGAGCAGAGATACAATAATATAAAATATTAAGAATAATATACAAATACAATATAGAATAAATATTATAAATAGCACACATGTAAAAACACACTAAAGAAAATCTACACTATTGCACTAACAACAGAAAACACAAGCTAAAACTAAAACCTCACCTTTCTGGCCTTCCTTGATGCAAAATCATCAATAATGTCATCATACGAAATCTGCTCCCCTATTGAGTGATTGATACTGATGACGGCAATAATATTACAAATACCACTGGGGAACCGTGGATGCTACTACTGTTGGGTTTAATTGACACATGTCTACAGGGCCGGCTCTAGCCCTTTTGCTGCCCTAGGCGAGATTGAGTTAGGCGCCCCCCCCAAAGTTTGATGAACTCCATAGAGTGTAAAGGTGCTCATAAATTAAAGGATATTTAACATGAAATTAACTCTTAACTATGGAAATAAAAGTGCTTCTAAGGACATTTTAAATGCAGGAATGTGTATTGGAGATTAGAAAGAAATCAGAAAGCATTAGTCGTTGGAATAACCTGTTGTTAAAGGAACACTTTGTTAAAGGAGCAGAAGTAGTTACATAAAAAGATAGGATACATATGCACCTTCACAAAATTACACTATGCTGATATTGTGCAAAATATATTATTGTTATTAAAACATATTCTGGACAAAAAATGACAAATCTGTGATTTTTTTTTACATTTTGTCATTTAAATTATTTACAAAAAAATCATATCACCAATATGAAATGTTCAATTTGTTTTTCTTTGTAGACCCAGTGTGACTCATGTGGAAGGTGGTTCCATGACATGTGCCTAACAGCAACCCAGATGGCACATGTTCCAAAAGAACTGGCACAATGGCAATGTACCCTGTGCGATAACCAATAAATCTATTTGATTTCCTGTTCATATGTAAATATTTCACATCGTTGTAAGTTGTATTTATTGAATTACCTAGTGTGTGTAAAAAGTACACATAAATCAAGTATAGCCTGCCTACATTTTTTGTATGCTAACTTGTATAATATATAGTTCACAGGTATGTTTTGATATCGGTAGGTGAAAAGGTCAAGCCGCATAATAGATTTATAGCATTTTTTAACATTAAAAAAATAGTAAAAAAAGCTTTGTGTTAAGTGTAGGGCAGTTAGCTGAGTTCATCAGATGTGTTTTGACATGGGTAGGTGAAAAGGTCAAGCCGCATAATAGATTTATAGCATTTTTTAACATTAAAAAAATAGTAAAAAAAGCTTTGTGTTAAGTGTAGGGCAGTTAGCTGAGTTCATCAGATGTGTTTTGACATGGGTAGGTGAAAAGGCCAAGCCGCATAATAGATTTATGGCATTTTTTAACATTAAAAAAATAGTATAAAATCAAAAGGTGGGTTTTTTGACAAAAGAAGCTTTGTGTTATATAGGCAGGCCTTGTATTAACACATCAAAGTTGGTTTGACAAAAATTTGTCCATCGAAGCCAGTGTTAAATAGATTTTTCGAATGTGTCGAATATCCAACGTCCAATATAAAACCAAATTTACCACGGTAACACAGAGACCCATGTACTTGTACTGTACTGTATATCATATTATTTTCGATGGCTTTACTGTATAATCAGTACAACAGATCGCCACTGGGCTTTCATCTAAACACACAGCCACGTAATGATAACAAAAAAAAAGGTCGGGGGTCATTGGTCAAGCAACACACCAATCAGAGAGCAGCAGTGAGCACACCTCACGCTGTGTTTTATATTTGTATTCTTTATTTCTGATGTATTTCACACAAAAAACCTTTCGTAGAAACGTTTTCACTTATATGATTAAAAAAAGAAAAAAACGGCAAAGTGGCAAGGCTTGCCAACCCTGCGTTGGGGGGGCACAGTGACTCATTTGGGGGGGCATGGCCCGCGAATGACCCCCCATGACGCCGACCCTGCCTGGGAGAATGAAGATTTACTTCCAAAAAGAAAAGCAAAGATCTGCCATCTGGAACTATTTTGGATACAAAAAGGTTCTTCTCTTCTTCATTCACAGATGAACCCCCTTATTTGAGGCCCGGGTAAGCAACATGCATTATCATGACATGTTAGATCATGACTAAGGTATGATGAGTCAACCAGTTAAAATCCAGACGTCCGTGACTAAAATCCTTCATCCGGTTAAATATAGTTACAAAAAACGCAATATATATCGCAGGGGAAAAAAATATCGCAATGTCAGTTTTTTTCAATATCGTGCAGCCCTAACAGCAATGTTTTACTATTTTAATAGTACAGTATGTTTTATATGCACCATAAGGTCTGTTTATATATTGCACTTGAAGCTGCCCCATGGTTATTGTTGTCCTAGTTTAAAAACAACACAGTTTCATGTGGAAAAGCTAAGTTTCTCTTTCATTGAAAACCCTGATCAATGTGGAGTGATGTTAAGATATCAAATATAATCCAACATATTATTAATAAGTACAAAACAGCCTTGTATAAATAACACTCAAATCACCCAACATTGATAGTCAGCTAGCTAAACTGTGAAAAAACAGCGAGACACCTAGCCATACATGCTAACTAGTTAGCAACAGCTACATTTTATTATTTTTGTAGTACAGTACTTATTGTACCATAAGGTCTGTTTATAAATGTTTGGCAATTTAAGCCGCTCTATAGGTTATTCATTTTAATATAACTTATAGTTTATTAAGCAATTGTATACTGTATGTAAAAGAGGCTCTGTGCTCCCTTTTTCTCTTTCAGTGGAAACTGATTTATGTGGATTAAGATATTTTAATCTTTTATCCAAACTTTTGTTGAAAAACAATTCTGCTTCAGGGTTCATGGATCACTTTGGTAATGTGTCTATGTTTCCTATGCTAAGGTCGATAGCATTGAGCAGCTTTCATTAGCATTTAGAGAACTCAACGAGCCTTGAAAAAGACTATTCCACGGCAGCCTTGGATTCATGCATGTTTCTCTTCAGCATTATTGAATTGTTTCACAGTTCCTACATACAATTTCTTCACAGCAGATATGTTTCCTAAAAAAAAATGTAATTTCTGACCAAGTACGTTGGAGGATTTCCTTATAATTCTGGCTGCATCTACTAACAACATGCAGAAAAAGACCCTCACAGATGAATGAACCCTGTTGGCTGCAGATAAATAAAGACGCAGAGTTTTTGGCACTTTACCTCGAGCAGAGGTCACCGGCGGGACGTATTTAACCTTCATGTGTGTCTATCTCCAGACTGTTGTGCTGTCAGTTGTCTTGCTGCTATATTTACATGCACTCTGTACCTGATAAATATGAGATGTAGCTCAACTGTTAATGTGTGCACCTGTTGTCCTTGCAGCAACTGGTTCAACCTACCATGGTCTGCATGTCGACATGTCAATACAAATGATGAGCCACCCGATTGGGATAATATTTGTTTTGCATTATTTACGGTTGAGGGGAGAGGATAGGGTTAAAATGTACCCAAATATATCACCGTGAAACTTTCCCATTCCATTACTGACATTAAGACAATTCTTTCTGAAATAAATAGTATGTATACATTTGCAAATGAAGCTTTTTCTAATGCTAATTTTGTGAATTTAGGAGAAATCTACACAAGACATACTTAGTCAAATAAACTCCTAAATGGGTGTTTTGAATGTTTTCTGTCCACTTGCATGTATTTTCTTGCCCCAGAATGCAGTATTTAGTCAGATTGCAGTTACACTCATTTACATTCAAACCTTTTGTGTTAAACTATAAGGTGTTAATACTTGAATTGAATCCCCGCAGGTCCGTATTGTATTTATATCTCAGCCGGTGACTACATTCAAATTTCAAAATAGTTACCCATGCATACTAATCAACAGTGAAAGAGCCATGTAACTTAATGCAGATGTTTTAGACTCGAGGCCCTTCTATAACTCAGCCAATACATCAAAAGATAATATGAAACATGTCTGCATTCAAAACGACTATAGCCGTACGTTATATATTTAGTAGTATTGTATAGTTTCAGTGAAAGGAAGGTAACGTTTCCTCTTGTCTCCTGTACTGGCATTGTTTTCCCTTTGAGCATGCTTCAGCTGTCAGAAGATTTCATAAGACTTTTTATCTAGATTTTAGCCACGACTTTACCATACACACTTTGGTGCTTTTAACCGAAAGAAGGGTTTTAATCTGAGGAGCTAACTGAGCAAACGCTAGCCTATAGCTTGTAGCGGTTCTCCTACCATAGAACATTTGTTTTGCAGAGTAGGAGACCTTTGCAGATAATTTGTCTTCTGATAAAAAAACCTCAATGACTTCTGGATCTGTAGTTATAGGAGAACTTGGCTGCAAAAACGTCAGCAGCGGTCGAACAGCATGAAGGGAGACACTCTGATTTTAAACATCAAACTGATACTTTTACCGCTTTAAAACCTCCTTAACCATGAAGTAGTAAAAATAAGTAATAATCTAACGTTTGGCTATAAAGAAACTACACCACTGCTAAGCTAAATGCAGCTTATGTTCGGAAAGATCTCATTTAGACACTTTTTGGCAACCGCCGCTCTTAGGACATAGAAGCTTCAGCGTAAAGCTAACCACAGACATAATTTCAGGTTTGTAACCGAAAAAAACATTGCTTACAGAAAGCGCTTAAATGCTGACTCATTTCAGGGTTTTTGGACTCATTCCTGCCCCACTACATTAAATAACAGAATATTAGTGTGTTTAAGGTTCCTCCCAATGAATAGCAATAACACACATGTTTTTCTCTTTTCTAGTTTTTACAAACTCTTTATTGAGGTCAGTTTAAATAATCTAAACATTATTTCTTGCAGGTTTTCCCCCCAGAACCATTACAGAACCAACTTCTGAAGTTGAACACGTGGATGCTGGAAAACGTCCTTTAGCTTGTAGCGGTACCATAGAATATTTGTTCTGCAGAGTAGGAGACCTTTGCGGATAATTTGGCTTCTAATAAAAACCTCAATGATGTAAAAAAAAAAAACTGTAAAAACGTCAGCAGCGGCCGAACAGCGTAAAGGGAGAAACTCCGATTTTAAACATCCAACTGATTTATTTACTGTCCTTAACCATGAAGTAGTAAAAACAAGTAAAAAGCTAACATTAGGCTATAAAGAAACGACACCACCGCTAAGTTAAAGGCGGCTAATGGTCGGCAAGATGACGTTTAGTTGTCTCATTTAGACACTTAGACGCTCTTAGGACACATAGAAGCTTCAGTAACGCTAACATGCTCAGGGTTTTAGGACTCATTCCTGCACCACTATTGATTGAGAGAAGATTACATGTTTAAGGTTCCTCCCAATGAATAGCAATAACACACATTTCTCTTTCTATTTTTTACAAACATTGAGGTCAATTATCTAAACGTTATTTCTTGCAGGTTTCCCCCCCAGAACCAACTTCTGAAGTTGAACACGTTGATGCTGGAACACTTCCTCCATCTTTAACCCAGAGGCATGTCGCAGCATTTTTTTAACATTATAGATGTAATATAAAAACAGTAAGAATCAGTACCGTGTGTTTGTGAAAACGTTGCTAGGAAAGTTCCTCCAGACACGTCCGTGTGATATTAGAGGATTTCACACTCTCGTGAGTGTTTTGTCAGCGGGGTGCTGCAGCTGTCTGGATTCCTCAGGGGCCGGGGGGTGAGGGGGGGACGACGACAACGGCTCCTCAGTCCGGCCTCTTTTTTCCACACACATACTGTAGTTTCTTCTTTCAAAGCACTTCATTGGCATTGTTAGAGAGCCAGCTACAGCCAAGTGTCAGTAATGCTGCAGATTACCGCACTGTCTGTATGATAAGCCTCGCAGGTGAGAGAGAACCGACTCTCTGCACCCCCCGCTCCGACGTCGCCATCTCGGGCTTTTTATGGCACTCGGCTGCCGGGGATTTGAGGAGGATTAGTGCTACTAAAAAGGACAGAAGGGTGGAGGCTGGCCAGCGTTTATTCCCCCTCCCACACTCTCTCTGTCTGCATGGTGTTAAACATGTAACACTGCCAGAATAAGCAGCCTTCTCCCCCGTTCTTCAGTTCCTCTGCTCCCCATGTTTTTCCTGCAGTTCGTCGAGCCTCCTCGTCTGTAGGGCTGGACTCTCCCAGCGGAGCACATTCCTGCTGCCTGTTTTCTTATTCCACCTTCTGCCTTCAGCGCTGAACACCAGGCCCCTGCAAGAGAACATAAAGAGTCAACTGAGGATTTAAATACATTCTTTAGGATATAGTTTACAGCTGCACACTGAAAATAACTGTCAATATGATTGATGAGATCTCTATCAATAGCTCCATCAGTGAGTCTAAAGCCGGAACAATCAGTTCTCTTCACAGATTTAGTCATTTTTCAAGCAGATATAGTGAAGGAAATGCAATATTCTCCGATCACAGCTTCTCAAATTAAACAATACTATTCTACTCTTGGTCATATGTCATTGTAAACAAAACAAAATGTTTGATTTTGGCCGTAACAAGTTTTACTGTGAAATATGTACGGCCATTTTTAGACGTTTCATTGACTAAACAATAATTAAATCACTTGCTGCTCTTCTTTTTGGGGTTGAAGTTCTACAAATATAACAGTTTGAAGAAGAAATACTTTGCAACCTATTATTGTTTTGGGATTTTTAACTCTAGTTTGGACAAAACGGGCAAATTTGACCTTTTATAGACCAAACCACAGCCTGATTTAAGATTTTTGACGATGTCCCATTAGATTTTGAGAAGCTGTGTCTGGAGCTGAGCAACATATATGAATATCTAAGTGATATATTATGCAACAAGACATAAACTTGATTTGATCATATAGTAATATTTTCTAAATTGTACTTTTCTGGCTTTAAAAGCTGCACTACAGTCCTTATATTTGAACTGAAAACTATTTGAACTGTACTAATATTTGACTTTACCCATAAATCCACATTACTGAAACCATTTCCTTTAACAGACACATTGTCCTGTACTTTGTATAATGTTCTGAAAGTACCATGTCTGCAAAAAAACTAATAAAAAGATTAAAATATGATCATGATATGTGATTTCCTCCATACTCTCAACCGTAGTTGTTCTGGCAATTTTTGTAGTCAGTATTTGCAGCACTATCAGAGTCATGGAGAGGTCAGTGAGACATGAATCCCCCCCCGTCAGGCGGCCAGCTGCTGGAGAGGCTGCTGCTGACGGCCGGTGGTAACCAGGGAGCTGTGCCCCGTCATGGACAGCCGTGCACAATGACCCCCTTCAGAGGAGGGTCTGCCAGCCCCCCGAGGTCCAGCAGAGGAGGCGGCACTGCCAGGAGGAAACAATGAGGCCTCTATCAAACCACATCAGTGGATCATCAAGGAGGGGGGAACATTTCTGAGACTGCCTCGCTCCAAAGGCTCTAAAAAATCTGCTACAGTGGTCTTACTTGTGTTTAAAATGCCACTGCTGGGGGCCTGGAATTGAATGAATGTGCTTTATTTTACCCTGAAGGAGTGGTTTTTATGTTTTGAAGTCAGTTTTGCATGCTATGCTTCTCTATCGGTTTAGATGGTGGTCAGCACGACGGAAGTTTGGAGAAACAACCAGGCCACTAGACTCCATTAAATAAATCATTTGACCTTGCAGGACACAGGAGGTGCTTTTGTTTATGGTGCCTCGATCAGTTAGTTATTGTGTGACTTTGGTGAACCCAAAACAAACTTTCTTAAAACGCAAAAGTCACACAACACAAATTACTATTGGTGGCCTTTCTCTTTCTCTACTAGAACTCCCTATTAAAAAAAAAAAAACAGCAACACGGTGACATATTAATAGATTATGATTGTTATCTATAACAAAAGAGCAGAGTCCATCATTACCTGACAGGTAGCAGATAATATACAGGGTATATGCAGGAATCCTGAAGTCAAATGTAAAACCTTTTAAGACCTTTTTCCGACATTTTAAGACCTCATCTCCACTTGGAGTTCTAACCGGTTACATTGTTACACACTTTACCTCACATTGACTATATACAGTATTGATTGTCCTTCCTCCTTATCTTCCAACCATTTAGACGCAGACTTGCATTTCCCCATAACGATGTTGTTTAACAACCGGCGTAAACGGACCTTCGCGCTATCAAGCAGTGAGCGTGCGATGTCCTGTTCAGATGACGTCAAACCCAACGGGATGCCATCAATAAACTACACAGAATCACACTACACACCTACGCCATGATTACATTCAGGCACACTGTAGAATACAACCTCTTTGGACAATTCATATACTTATTGAAAACAAGCTACAAAATGTAATACCTTGGAAAATGCCCTTTAATAGGCTTAATTTTTGCTAAATTGATTGATCAACTTTTAATACTTTTTAAGACCCCGCGGACCCCCTGATATGAGATACCATGACAGAAATCACCAACAGGTGTGAAAGTTAACAACTGAAGCCGGTATAATCAGATTAAATCAAACCAGACATGTTTAATGACATGAAATTACAGTGTCAACATAAAAAAGGTAATTAACCTTTTTTAGAAATGCTTAAAATTGCATCGAGGACTTGAAGAGATATATTCAGCTCATGTTCAGGTGTATATCAGTATGTAGTGTCTCTACTTTAAAGAGTCCTCTCCTGCTGATGTTCAGGTGTATATCAGTATGTAGTGTCTCTACTTTAAAGAGTCCTCTCCTGCTGATGTTCAGGTGTATATCAGTATGTAGTGTCTCTACTTTAAAGAGTCCTCTCCTGCTGATGTTCAGGTGTATATCAGTATGTAGTGTCTCTACTTTAAAGAGTCCTCTCCTGCTGATGTTCAGGTGTATATCAGTATGTAGTGTCTCTACTTTAAAGAGTCCTCTCCTGCTGATGTTCAGGTGTATATCAGTATGTAGTGTCTCTACTTTAAAGAGTCCTCTCCTGCTGATGTTCAGGTGTATATCAGTATGTAGTGTCTCTACTTTAAAGAGTCCTCTCCTGCTGATGTTCAGGTGTATATCAGTATGTAGTGTCTCTACTTCAAAGAGTCCTCTCCTGCTGATGTTCAGGTGTATATCAGTATGTACTAGTGTCTCTACTTTAAAGAGTCCTCTCCTGCTGATGTTCAGGTGTATATCAGTATGTAGTGTCTCTACATGTCTCCATGCTTTAATGTTCAAAAAGCTCTTTATTTTTCTCATACTGCCTGTGCTGCAGCACCTCTTTTCACCCTCCGTCTGAAACCAGACAATGTGTTGGAGCACTGGCCAATAGGAGCGTGAGTGTTACATAGTGATGTCACTATGTTTAGGAAGTAAACACAGGAGTCCAATGTAAGCTTTTCAAGCAAGGGGGAGAGAAACTCCCTCTAGAGGGAACACAGGGATTTTAGCCGGCTTGCAGACCGTTTACATGCACACAAACCTGGATAACACACTACAGGAGAGGGAAACACCAAAAAGCAGAGTAGGGCCTCTTTAAGGTTTCCTCCTCGTACTTGTGAAAGTTGCTCGTTGCAACATGAATGGGCTCGCCATCTGTTTGTGATGTCACTAAATCATTCTTGTGTATACGTGTACGCAAACGTTTGACAGAGAAACACTCGGCCCTCAGCCAATGGAAGAAAACACTGCCTCTGCACAGTGAAGGTCAAACACTACGAGAAACTGCAGAAGGCTTTAAAATACATCAAATTATGTCGTGTCTTTTTTTGTGTTTAAGTATCAGTATTCAGGGAGGCGTGTGGCGTAGAGGTCTAGTGCGTTAGTGTTTGGATCAGGGGAGCACAGGTTCAAACCCCACTGCAGTCAGCATGTTGTTGTGTCCCTGAGACACTTCACCCCAAAGTGCTCCTGTGGGGATTGCCCACAGTATTGAGTATGTGAGTCGCTTTGGATAAAAGCGTCTAACAAGTAACATGTGATGTAATGTAATATTCAGTGGTGAGTTTGAACTAAACGTACAAAATAAAAGATTATAACAGATGATAAACAAATGTGTAGAGCAGTCAAAGGATAACAATTTGTAAAATGTTTTTTAAAAAGGTGATGGAAATGTGTAATAAAAACCTGACATAACAACACTTGTGTGTACATGTATCGTTGTTCAGGAAAAATGTAATATTTGTATTTTGTTCTTTACTTTCTGTATGTTTTGGGGGTATAAACTGTATATTAAGAAAACAGTAGACATTAAATGATCAGTGTTACAGTCTATAGCTTCAGCCTACATGCGGTCTATTCCTAAATCCTTTAGGCACTTGCAGTGACTTGTGTGTGAACAGTGCTCTTTAATTAAATTGCCTTGCAGCTTTTCGATAAGCTTTTTGTTTGTCTTCGCTTCAAGGAGTAATAACTTATTATTTGTGAGTGTTATGCATTGAACACGAGCGGTTGGCCTGCTGGGTGAAATGGAAAACAGAGTGATCTTTTACTGATTTACTGGTTTTAATTGGCAGCGAGAGGTCAAAGGTCAGGGATCAGCCTCAGAGCGGTTTCTGTTACACAGCGACTAACTCAAGCTCTAACTTGAGCGTACCGTTAAAACGCTCTTTCTGTCTCACTGTCAAACTGAGGATCTTAACCCTTTTTTCACTGCTGGATTTAATCCACTTTGTGAACTGGAAAGTACATTGTGTACTTTTTATTGCACTGTGTATCTGACAGCTTTAGTAACTTGCTTTCAATCAGATTCATAATGCATAATATAACTAATAAATACTTTATAATGTATAAATATAGGTTAAGATAAAACTGCATTGATCTCTTTGTAAGATTCTTAAGCTAATTGGCATATCTTGGTAATTCAATATATATATTATGAAACAATCACATGTTAATGTATATGCTTGCAAACTCCTGTGTGACTTACCTCACAAATATAAAGTATGTTGTCATTTAATCAAGAACTTAAGTGCAAAATAAACCGAACAGTACATTCATTATATATTCTAAAATGTATATAAATCAATAGTTCCTGCGCCATCATGGCTACTTGTACTTTTACTACTAGTATTGCATTGTAAAAGCTTCTTCAGTATGATGATAAGGGAAATGTGTTTAAAGTATTAGAAATATAATGCAGATGTCCACTATGACTGTTGTACTATAATATATTATATAACATGAGGTGATTGCTCAGGCACTAATGTAAAAGCATGTTTTTACTGCTGTAGTTTATGGTACTTTTGGTACATTACGTATATTGTGACTACTTCAAGATTTTGAATTAAGGACTTGTACACGTAACAGAGTATTTCTAGACTGTGGCTGCTTTGAATGCAGCTAAATATCAGATTAATCCCCCCCTCTCTGCTCACCTGCACCCATGCGTTGCACCTCTTCATGTGGTTTTGTCCCCGCTGTTCTTCTCGTAGCCCAGCTGCCTCATCACCTCGCTGCAGTACGCCTCCACCTGGTTGATCTGCTCCACGTTCAGCCTCTCCCTCCAGGCGTAAATGGCCTCCTTGGCGTCCCTGGAGGAGATGAGGAAGGGTTTGTCGGAGGAGTATCCGTGTCCGTGCGTCATGTTGAGGGCGAAGCTGTCCAGCGCCGGGGAGCTGGTGAGATTTGAGAAGAGGAAGAGCCTCTGCAGCTCCTCCATGGGCTGCAGAACCAGGTCCTCGTAGCGGACCCGGAGGTAGTTCCTCCTCACCCAGGGGGGGGCGTTCAGCACCAGCATCATGTCGCTCAGCCAGTTGTCGCAGATGAGCTCCATGGCGCTGGAGACGTAGCTCTCGGCCCGGTTCACCCTGTTGTTTGGCACCAGCAGCCGCTTGTATTTATCCGTCTGCTTCTTGCTCCTCAGCACCTGCAAGATATAATATAATAATAATAATACAACAAAACATGTGGTGGAGCCTGTTATTGTTTACTCCGGGTTGGAGGGTTACTTTAAAAAGGGGCCTGAATAAATGTGCTTTATTTTACCCTGAAGGAGTTGTTTTTATGTTTTGAAGTGGGTTTTGCATGCGATGCTTCTCCATCGGTTTAGATGGTGGTCAGCACGACGGAAGTTTGGAGAAACAACCAGGCCACTAGACTCCATTAAAGAAAACAGTCATTTTACCTTGCAGGACACAGGAGGTGCTTTTGTTTACGGTGCCTCGATCAGTTAGTTATTTTGTGTTATTGTGTGACTTTGGTGAACCCAAAACAAACTTTCTTAAAACGCAAAAGTCACACAACACAAATTAACTAGGGCAGAGATAAACAAGCAACTCCTGTTCTGCAACCTGACATTACAAATGTTTTCGATAGAGTCTGGTGGTTTACTTTAACAAGGGGCCTTGTTCTGCTTTCAGGGGTTTCCCTTTCCCTGTAGTGGGGTATATAGGTTTGTGTGCATGTAAATGGTCTGCAAAGGCTAAAATCCCTGTGTTCTGTCCAGAGGAAAAAGCTCTTATATTACACTACAGGTATTTACCACAACACTGCCTGCTGTGTTTTCCAGAGCCTGAAAAGCTGCACCTCTTGACACACAGAAGCTGGAGCCATGGGATGTTTTGGTATGAGTTAGTACCTGGATGCTCTCCTTCACCAGGGCCTGCTTGGACTTCAGCCGGGAGTTGTGCACGGCCCGCGGGTCTCTGAAGAGCTGGATGATCTGCAGGTTGATCGCCGGGTCTTTCATGAGAGGAACCAGCGTGCTTAGATCCAGCACACGGACTCCTTTGATCACCATCACCGGGTACTTCTTACACTCCCTCTCCAGATCTCTGATGTCCCTCTTCTTGCACTTTGCGCACTGATCCTCCTTCACCAGCCCGATGTCGTGCCTCTTGTGAGCATCACACAGCGGCTCGGAGCAGATCACCTTGTTCATCTTCCAGCCGAATATGAAGGAGGTGGTGATGTTCTGAGAGCCTGCGTAGAGCTTGAGCACGGAGAAGTCGCACCGGTACAAGGCGTTCATCATGTCCCGCACCGCACCCTGCAAGACAAGGACATTTATATATCACCTTTTTAACAAAGTGCTTTACAAAAAAGAAAAACATTTAGAGCATAAGAAATAGAGCAGTGAAAAACAAATTATGAAATGGCATTTGAAAACAGTCATTAAAAAGCAAAGAGAACCAGAAGTGGCGCTTTACCTCCCACTTCGACTGTTTTCAAATGTCATTTATAATGGGTTTTTCTAAGTACATGTACTTTGAGGTACCTGGATTCGTCGTCTTGTTATTTATAGACACATGCATTTTCAAAGGGGTGTTTCCTTGTCCTATGTGAGGGTCCAAGGACAGAGGGGGTCATATTCATATTGGTTGCAAGCAGCTGTGATTGACACACAGTCTATTTTTGAGTAAGGGGTAAAATAAGACTTTCTTCTCCCTGCTCCTCTCATTCATGAGCTAAAAAAAAACAGGCTTAAAATGTACAACGGATTACAAGATAAAGTACCTGTATTCTCTGACAGTTACATAAAAACATGTGTAATCAGATTACTGGTACATGTTTAAAAAGGGGGATTACTATCAGGATTACAAGATTGATGTATTGACTAATTTCCTTCTTCTTTATTGTAAATGCAGTTGATGGAAACCTGATTTATTGAACAAAAAGTCTGAGTTTGTTTTTAATTCACATGTTGAACTAAAACAGCATTTTTAAACCGTTCTGTAGGCATTTACTGTAATTTAAGAGGGCACATTTTTTAACCTAAATATCTTGGTTTCTTCTTTTTTAAGGTCACATTGTTCAGTTTTTACATGTATGTGAGTTTTCAGTGATGAACTTACTATGTATTGTGGGCCATAATATTATGTGAGAAATTGTCGTTTTCTTGGACCTTGATGTGAAGTTAAGATGTGTGATATAAGCTTTGGGTATTGCAATTTCACACGTGTACACAAGTAGTTTAATTCAGCTGATGAGTGCTATGTGAATAAATGTAAGCGATGTGATGCAAGTAGCTCTTGGCCCCTTTCATTTTTTCAAAGTAGCTCTCAGATGAAGTAAGGTTGGAAACCGGTGTTTTACACAATAGGCCTCCACTGATGTAGAAAAACCTCACATTCATTTTGCTCTTGTATTTATTTGCATTGCATTTGATATTGAGGTAACGGAAAGTAATCAGGTTACTTTTATATGTTGAGACTCTGATTAGGCTACTGATTACAGTTGTTGACACGGTAACACTGGTTATAATAATGTCCATGAGTGGAATAACACTAATAATAAAAACAGAAAGCAGACCTGCAGGCTTGCAGCGTCCCCCGGGTACAGAGCCTGCCATATGTGCCACATGGGCTCATACAGGTAGAAGACATCGGGGTGCTGGTTGAACAACTCCCCCAGGAACGAGGATCCGGTTCTCCAGGTGGCATGAAGGTAAATGTGTATCCGAGTTTGGCTCCTGTTGACGGCGTGCTGCTCCGACGCGTTACCGTTATCATCCCAAAGCTTCTCCAAATCTGGGCATCTGGGCTGTTGCTGCCGCAGTTTATTATTGTGGTGCACGGATTTATCCCCGTAATCCAACACGTAGGGGATTAGCAGAAGTAAACCTGTGTATGCCAGGATCAAAACCAGGTATTTCTTGTGCAGCCGCCTCTTCATTTCCTCTCCGGAGGCTACAGTTGTTTCCTTTTGGAGGTTCTGCGTTTTGTGAGCTGCAGTGGAGATATATGTGTGTGTGTGTGTGTGTGTGTGTGGTGGGTGGGGGGGGGGGGGGGGAGAGGAGTGTGTGTGGGTTTTAACCACGCCCCATTAAAGACAAAACTACCAGATTATTTCGTTTTCTTGTTCCCAGCGAAATACATGATGTAAACAACTGTTATAAAAGCCGTTAAAATGCGTAGGTTGTGCTGGCATGGTTCTTAAACAGTCGACAACTAAACAGATTGAAAACTCACAAAGAGCCTTAAAGGAAAAGACGGCCCAACGGATACTACCTACCCTAACAGTGCTGTAATAGTTATGACCGTTAGAAAATAAATTGTTTGTACTGTCTCTTGTACCTTGTGCTAAATTAGCTGTGAAAAATTATGTGAACCATTATATCATATACCAAAATATCAAAGAATCTTGTTAGAGAAGAGAGTCCAATGGCTACCACCTACTGTAACCCGATTTGAGTAGTGCTAGGAATCGTGGGAGATTGATGAGAAATACGTAGTCCTTTTGATTAGTGCTTTTAGTCAGTAGTGTATTCTTATCATAAGGCATTGAACGTACCCACGTTTAAAGTTTTAACTAAAAACGTTAACATGTAAGCAATGCATAATGAGAGTACCGTTAATTTGGAAAAATTAAAAGAGCCTTGTAGGTAAGAGTGTCTAAAGGAGACCTTCTACCGTAACCTAACCGGTGCAATGAATTCTGGGAGATTAGTGAGAAACTAGTGCTCCATGTGAACAACATTTTGAACAGTGTATTTATAGTATATATTATATAGAGTATACTATCTTAACCCGACAGTGTATTATCATCAGTTCAAAACAAATCATCGCTTACCCAAATTACTTTCTCTTGGGTGTTGCGCATGCGCCCAGTTTGTTGTCAGTTGGAGGCAACGACGCTCCGTACTGAATGAATGAGAGGAGAAATAGCTCTGACTATCATGCATTTGCAACGAACATCATTATGCTGATGTCATTATCTAACATTTTACATTTCGAGCAAGCTCTATAGCTTGCAGCATCAACAGGACTGACATACAGCTAAATCTACTACATCTACATGCTAACTTGAAGCTAACTGCTGTCAACAACATGGCGCACTGGACCACCTTCGAGAAAGAGACAGAGAGGGAAACTAAGAGACTGGTAGCATGTATCTCCGGGGTGGAGGACGAGGAAGACCAGAACTTTCAGCTGGCCCTCAAATTTGCCTGGTCCAACTTCAGGTAAAAGGGACGAGGAGCTAGCTTGTTAGCTGCTAGCATGCTAATGTGATGCTAATAATAACAATGTGGTTTGTTGACAGGTTCCATCGTTTCCTGGACGTGGACAGCCACAAGGTCCAGCGCAGTATAAGTGGGTGAGTGCTGCTCTTGTTGTCTTTTATAGGAGCATAACAATATCTATTCCACAAATGAAGGATTTGCTAATCAGTGCTGGGGAAGTATTGTAGGTTATACTTCATTATATTTAGGCTACTACAACAGAACAGTACACATATTGACTCTAATTATCTAAGTTTCATGAGGGAAATGGCTTTAAAGTATAATAATAAAATACTTTTCAATGCATACAAATGTCCCATATGACTCACACTCAAACTTAATACTGTATGTATCATGTACAAGCAGGATTTTATTGTTGTAGTTGGTTGAGTTGGAGCTGACTTTAAACTTTACAAATATAACAAATTGAAATTAGAAAGTAGTCAACATCTCCACATTATTACACACTTTTATATTAAGAAAAAACCCTCACATGTGAAGCTTTTAATGAAAAAGAGCGGTTTGATTTAACAAAAAATATATATATTCTAATGTTATCTCTAAAAAAGCATAAATATTTTGGATACCTGTAGTGGATCAAAAAGTTTCATTTGTATATGTATATAGTTGCATGCAAATTGCTCTAAGCTACAGTAATTGAATAAATATTGCATTTCTCTGCTGCTGTATTTTCCAGAATCTATGAGAAGCTTATGGTGCACTCAGACGTGGTTAAAGCAGAGAGCTGGACGAAGCTGACTGAAGAGTTCCTGAACTCACCGTTGCCTAACACAGATGGAGTAAAGGTAGGCAGGAGACGTGGGCCGACAGAAAACTCAATCATTAGTGAAGTTAATCTTTCTCCTGGCCCGCAAAATATGTGACACATTATTCACATGTTGTGTTTTTACCCAGAGTGATGCACACTACAGTCTCGTGTCCCTGCTGCTCTTCCTGTCGGAGTCCCCCTTGCACACAAACTTTACCGAGAGACCCAGGATAAAGGAGGCCGGTGAGTCGACGTCTCACAGATGCTTCGTTCTTTAAACTATTTTAAATGTCCATGGTAATAATTATCGCTTCCTCTTGTGTCTGCAGAAGCAAAAGACGACTTCGACTGGGCTAAATATCTGAGGGAGGATGAGGACATAGACGATGGACCATACCCAGACACCCCTGTGAGTTACTAATAACAAAACCCACTCTTTATTGACATCAATGTTTACAACAGCTGAATATAGTGTATTGTATCTTAAGTGTGTGGGAGCTTTAAATCCACAGCAAAGTAAGTAATGCAGCCGAAATAGACCCTCTCAACGGCTTTATTAACACAGTGAATCAGAAAGAGAGAAAAAGGGAAACGATCAATTAATACTTTTTTGTAAATAATTGAATGAATAAATACACAGTTTAAGATAGATGATTAAAAGTTGACTCTTTATAATAGTACTATATACACAGTACAGAATCTTGTTTTCTTAATCTTTTGAAAAAGTGAGATATTCATAGATTTTTCAGATGGATTAAAACAAATGTCATGAAACCTGGTGCAGATATTGAGATGAATTTAAGTGAAACATTTTCCTGTAACGCGGTGCAGTTTTAAAGAAAGAAGATTTACATTTAATTTTAAAGTCAGTGTTATGTTTACGAATTTTCCGTTAAAGAAAATATTCAGAAACAAAAGGTGTCAGAAATTTGAAAATGGCAAAAATCAAAAAGATAATCTGCAGTAGCCAAGAAAATTATAATCAGTGCATCTGTAGATTTCTATCTAAATAACATCTTATTAAAACGATTTTTTTAGGAGTGGTCTGAGGAGGAGAGCGAGGACGAGGACAGCCAGCAGCCAATCAGCAGAGTGGATTCTGGGATCCAGCTGGACCGGACACCGCAGGAGGATCAGGACAACAACAACAAGACGGTTCCTGTCACATGGACAGGTGCAAACAAACACATCACACTGCATCGACACACACAAACATGGAGAGTGTGTCTACATTTAAAGGTCACCTATTATGAACGTTTCAGGAAAAAAAGATTCTCTCTCTTTTTGTCCTGATCCATTTATATGAAAATGAACTGATCAGATTTTGGCCACTTTATGATGTCATAACGAGGTTTGACTACCCCCCCCCTTATCACCTGAATCTCCTCCAAGGGCACCATTGTGTTCTTTGTAACCAAATATCTCTCAGAGGGGCGTGGGGAGGGGCTCCTTATTTTCATCTAAAGTCACAGACAGAGAATCAGCACTTTGGAAACAGGGCTGAAACAGAGGGGATTATGGGTAATGCTGCAATGATCTGTTTGGTGTTTGGAGCCAAACACTTCAGAGACAGGTTTTGTATATATCTGAGACCTATAATATATTGAAGAAAAACAGTATAATAGGGGACCTTTAAGCTCTTTATCAATATTAAAATAACCCCACGGTGTGTCTCTGCAGTGGGGGAGCCGGGGGCCCGGGTCTGGCTGGAGCAGAACGTGGTGACTCCGTACTGGGTCACTCACGCTCCTCGGTTTCCTCACAGCCTACATCTACACTCCAACCTCCTCAACGTGTGGTAAGACTTATCTTTATTTTAATTTGAGTTTTTACTCAACACTTGCAGCCGTGCTGGGGATGCATGTGCAGGAAAACTGATACAAAATGAGCTTCAGAAAACTAGTTGGGCCAAATTTACAATGACTAGGTTAAAAGGAATATAGCCATAACATTTCTCAAAATACTTCCCCCCAAAAAAGGTCTAGTCGTGATTCCTAGGATTGGTATACAGCTAAAATACACAATATTATTTACCATGATATTTCAATTTTACTATCAAAATATGATATCTTGTTTAATAATATATATAACATACAATTTTGTCATGTTTAATTATAGCTTCAATATGCCATGATATTAAGATTTATTGTATACATACAAGTATACAGCTTTACTTTATAATATGACTTACATTTCTTTAAGGCTAAATGATTTATTATGACTTAATTCTGGCCATATTATAGATTTGTTTTACATTTTTTATTGACCTGCCATTATGTTTGTTTCCTTAAAGTATAGCAATTTTACTTAGTGATAGTATTTCAAAGCTGGTATCAATATTCAATCCAATCCACTTTATTTATGTAGCACATATTAAAAACAGAGGGTTTACCGAAGTGCTTCACAGCAAACATTATTATATTATTTTGTTTATAATAAAATACAATATTACAATAATAGATAAAAGGCACATAAAGGCTATGGACAGACAATAAAAGCATAAAAATCGATAAAACATAACTCAAACTGACTCGAAAGTGAGGGAAAAGAGGTGGGTCTTCAGACGGGACTTAAAATATTCCCCATATAGCCATATAAAACATTCACTTTTGTAAAAGATGTAGCACAAATACAATCACATTATAATGTTTGTGATCATAAGATTAATACTGTGTTGTTTGTGAGTTGAAATGACTATAAATGCTAACAGTCAGCGTCTCTCCTCTCAGGGATCAGCACCTGTACAACACTGATCCATTGTATCTGCCTGAAGAAAAGGCCTTTGTGACGGAGACCCAAGTAATCCGGGAGACGCTGTGGTGAGATGTGATGGCGCTGTGTGACTGTGCTCTTTGTTCAAACTCACAAAGAAATCATTCCTGCTCTCGCACAGGTTGGACATTTTTATAGAGCTGTGCAGAACGGTTTCAAGCTTCATTTATAACCGACATTTAAACTGTGAATCCAATGCTGCACAGTTGTTGTTGTTGTTTTTGCATG